GTTTGTATAAAGCGAGAGAAAATTATATATATACATATATTTTCGTTCCCTTTCTCTCCCCTCTCCCAGATCTCGCTCACTCATTCGCCTCTCTCACTTTATACAATTGATCTTTTTGTATATGTATACCAAAGCAGATTATACAACTGCTTTCTTTTGTATATGTATAGCGAAATATACATATTTATGTTTGCTATGGAGCGCAATTATGCAAACTTTGCTATAACATACAAATATGAATTTTGTGTTTGCTATATGTGAAAGTTGCTCTTCTTAATAATAAGTTTTGATTTTGTTGTTATTGTTGCTTTCTCATAGTAAGTGTCAATTTGAGTAATATATCACATTAATTTTTAAAATTATAAAACAATTTAGATTATATTCTAAACTGAAAGTATATTAATTTAAATGAATATTGTGAATTAGTATAAAATAATTATTTAAATTCAATATATTAGACATGAATTTAAATAAAAAAAATTAATTTTCTTGAGTTAATTCATTGATTTAGCTTTAAATTACGATCAACTCTGTAATATATCATTGTCTCCAAGAGAGTTAGATTGGGGCTACACATAAAATAACGCAACATCAAATCAAATAAAAAAAAGTCAATTTTTTTTTATGATTTCTAGTTAAATAAAAAAAGCTAATGAAATTGCGCCACATATATTGATAACATGTTCCGTCCAATCAAATACAATTTTATTATTACTTCAATTTTATTGGTTGGTGATTCAAATCAACCAATTAATTTAAAGAAAATTTTCTTTTAATCATCACAACTTTTCTCTTCTAAACATAACTCAGAAAAATATCAAAATTCATAACAAGAGATAAGAGATCGCTCGTAGATCCAAATTTATAAATTTCTTTACGAAGTGCAAGCCTTTTTCTACATACAAGTTTTAAATACTTGAAGATTAAGAATGAAACATATATTAATATCAAGGTTGTTCATGATTATAGTTGCTCGTGGAATAATTATTGTTCTTAATGGATATTCATTTACTAAGAAAGTAGAATTATTTACCACTTTATCATAATTTTTCGATGATTTTGACAGATGCCTAATATCGTACTAAAACTGTTGAAAATTATATTTAATTATTACAATTGAGTTCAAATTTGGTGTCCTATAATTTAATGCCTATCATTTTCTTTGATAGTATAATGTTTGACTAAAATCATATTTATATTCAATATAGTTCCAACAAATTGGGAATTCTCAAGAGAATAAATATTCAATAACTAAAAAATAGTTTACTCACATCGAGGAATATCCTTGAATAAATATATTCAATTTTAATTAGAGCTATTATTTACCAAAGAGAAAATCATATATGAATTTTTCTATGCATATCAAGTAATTAAAAATGTATTTCAATTAAAAATAACATAAGACAATTGAATTAAGTATGTCAATGGCATAAAATCACTTATAATCAAAATTATGTGGACATAGCTTCTTTCTCTACTAGCATGCGTTGTCCGAAGCTTACTGGTCCGATTAATACAAATGTATATCGTATATTATGGGTGTATTTTGTCGATTTCTATCATAAAAGACTTTATTTTCAATGTTTAAACTCAAAAACTTTGATTAAAAGAGAAAGAATTTTTACCATTTTATCATACCCTATGATAATTATATAGATAAATATATCTTTTAATCAAGATTCGACTTGAATTAAAAGAAACATTATATCAATTATTGTTATTGTGTAGGTATAGTAAAACCTATTTCTTCCCACAACACTCTTTGCCTCCCAAGTTATTCACTTAAAAATATTTAAAATTATATAAATAATAGTAAATAATTACTGCTAATCTTATTTAATGATAGATTAGCAACAGATTATTCAATGATCCTTAGTCACGAGCAATTTAACGATATATTAGCAATGAATTTCGTAGCTATTTTTTGTTCTTCACCTTATATGCTAAGGGCGCCCTTGTCAAAAAATTACATTATTGTTTAGCTAGGTTAAATTTTTAAATTTTATGTATATATATGTTGACTTTTTTTTATGTGTGTCTACTTTTTTTATATATATTTTTAATATTCCTCGATAAAATTCCTGATTCCGCTACTATGAGGCAAGCTTACTTGAAACATCTCCACCAAAATGATAATAATGAAAAAAAGTAGGTAATCAAGACAGAAGACAATACTATTTTTTCAAATGCTTTTTTCAAACTATGATAACTATCACCTAAAATAGTGGCTTAATTGGCTGCAATGAAATGGACATTACACATGAATTACTAAAATGGCCAAACAAAAAAAAAAGGAGTTGCCTTAAATACCAATTATTTTTTTAAAAAAAACAAATAAATATTAATTACTTCTTGAGCTTTTGATGTGCTATATCAAGAAAAAGGTAATACAATATAGAGCTAATTATTGCCTTTTTCTTTCTTTTGTGTATATAAATACTAACAAGGTATGAGCACAAAGAAAATATTGGAGCTTAGATAGTTGAAAGTGAGAGGTGAGTTGTTTTTTTGTGTTTTTCATTTAGTGCTTGGTACTCGTTTATGAGTTCTATCTAATTTGGATTTGCATCGTATAACGTCTATTAAAGAGGGAACCCCCTACTAGAAATACTGAAAATTCTAACAAAATCAATCAAAAATCTATTGAAAATATTTTAGACGAGTCAAATTTTGATAGGTATATATCAATCAGACGTCCGTTGAACATTCTCCTTTTTTTAACAATGAGCGTTCCAGTAACATATTTTTACTATTCTCAAGGCTCGAACATGAAATCTTTAATTAAAAATGAATTTTTTTTTATTCATTCCGTCATAATCTATGGTGAATTGTTAGTTTTGGAAAGTTAAGGGGGTAGTTGTGCTTGAAAAAAACAAAGGTGGTGAGTTAGGTTAGGTTTCATGTGCATAGGGCCCTTTATTAGGGGGAAAAAGGTATACTACATTATAAATGCATTGAAAAGGCATGGGAAAAGGGCAAAATAATTATTTGCACTTCGTGTTTAAACTAAATTATATTAGTTTATCGAGAATAATAATAAACTTTATGAGAATATATATTAATTAACTATATTGAATTGATTACAATTTGTTTATGTAAAAATGGTTGTCATGTGTTTATAGAGTTGGCGTAACGTGAATAAGTTTTGTTATGTAATTTAAGTAATAAAATTAAAATACTTTGGTACATGCTTTTTAGAATTTAATTTAAAAGGTTATTCATTGTTTTAATGATAAAAGAAATGAACTTTAATTTACGAAATATTGCTTTCATAGTTAGAAATATTTCCAACTAAATGAAAGTTCAAGTAGCACACATCGAGAATAAAATGAAAAAAGGTCTTTTGAGATGATTTGATCATTTACTGTGTCAACCTTTAGATGGATCGGTTCATAGGTCTGAAATCGTGGTGAGTAGAGGTGTTAGAACGAGGACGAGGTACACCTAAAATCATATACACAAAAGTTTTCTCAAAAGGAACTATATTTTCTTGGTTATATACATTGGTATAGGTAGTTCCATTTTTTACAACTTTAGACCAGTTAGTCTAAACTCTAAAGTGTCCAGTAAAATTGTGTGAAACCTTACCGATAAGCATAATGCATAAACAGACACTCAAATATGACCTTGACAGACAAGTAAATACTCAAACTTTGAGAGTGTACATCTAAACCCCTCAACTTCATCACTGACAACTAAACACTCAAACTCATTCCCACTATGTCTCATGGACACTCGACGTTGACGTGACACACAAATTTTAAAGATGTTTAGATGATCATAAGTTGCAGTGTTCAACTGACACGATGAAGACGAGTTGAGAAGTCTAGATGTGCATACTCAAAGTCGAAATGTTTTATAAATCTAAATAATTGAAGTTATGAAAATTAATTTCCAAATTGTTCTTACAAAGAAGTGAAAAAAAAGAGGAGAAATATACAAATAAAAAGATACAAAATGGGAATGCTTATAAGCAAGAAAAACTAGCCTTCCCCTCTCCAATTGCCTGACTAATTTTTACATGTATGTATGATATATACAGTGAAAAATTCTCATGTTCATGTACTTATGGGGATTATGAACACGAATACGTCGCGATGTACGCGCGTAGTATGATTTTATCGAGGCTTTCCGGGCTTTTAACGTCTCTAAAATACCATCACTTACCTCCTTCTGCTCCCCATTTCGCCAAAACCGGTGTCTTGCATCATTGCTACAAATTCATTGTAATCGATCCGTCCATCCTGAAATATCGATAAGGGTACATAACATTTGAGTTTGAGCAACGATCCACGTTCCTAGGCTTAACGTTGCACGATTCTGCAAAGATATTAGAAGAAACTCAAAGAAAGGGGACAGAGGGACGTACATTATCTTGATCAACTTCACGCATAAGTTCTTCGATGGGGATGTTGCTCATCCCGAACTTCTCACAAGCTTGTTGGAGCTCGTCCTTTGTGATGTATCCGCTACCATCTTGATCGAAATAAGAAAAAGCTGCATACATGTGATCTTCCTTCTGAATTTTATTTAGATGGAGCATAGCTGCTATAAACTCGCCGTAGTCAATGGTACCACTATTATCAGTATCTGCCTGCAATTGCACAAAGAAGTTTGTTTGACAATGTATCAAACCACGACCATCTCATCAAAAAGCTTAAACTGTTAGAGAGAACACATTTTAAATCAATTAGATTATGTCTCAACGATATGTGTATATATCTTGAAGGACGAATATATACTTGATTAGGCACCCTGATACACAAAGGTTTGTTGGGGCGTTGGTCGAGTCTACAGCTTAAGTTCTACTCGTGTTATGACCTAGATTCAATTCCCAACTCTAGCAATACCTCATGTTTTCTAATACTGATGACTGATAGCAACAACTTTTCTTTCCGATGAGAAAGAGTGGTGTAAATGCTATTTCAAGGCATCTAAGATATATCGTAAACATCATCTTTTTCATGTAAGGAATACAAGTTCATAGACAAAATAACGAAATTATTTACTTACCGCTTGCATTAAACTAGTTATTTCTGAATCCTTCAGATCGGCACCTACTCGTTCCAAACCTTTCTTCAGTTCCTCCAACGTAATATTTCCACTATTATCGGTATCTAGCATTTTGAACATTTCCTTGAGTCCTGCAATTTCCTCTGCAGATAGGCTTTCAGCAATAACCTAAAAAATAACAGGAATTGGAAACTAGTATTAGTTAGGGGATCACAGTGTTCAAAGGCTATGTTGTTCGGACTCTTCAAAGCTGCCACGAGGTGCATGTCAGATACTCCGAAAGTAGTGCATTTTTGGAGGATCTAACACTGGTGAGGCAACATCTTTGGAGATTAGTCCGAGCAACGTAGTGCAAAGGTCCTAAGAATTAGAATAACTTACTCTAACTGCTATCTTTTTTAATTTGTTCATTGCAGAAAATTGATTGAGACGAGTCAGAACAGCAGAATCAAGAGGCTTATCTGGAGCTACACCGCCAACACGGACCCATGGGTGACCTGAGATAATACGAAACATCCATTATTCAGATAATAGTTTCATAAGTACGTACATGGACAGACACGGTAGGTAACATAATTTAGGAAAGGTGTTAAAGAGTATCAGTTCATAACTACATTATTTGTTATTTCTCTCCTATCTTATCACCAGTTTGAGCCTTCCGCGCAAAAGAGCTCATGTACAAGGTCGACATCTTTTGCTCATATTTTAAAAATTCTGAGCAAGAAAAGTAGAAAAGAAAACGTGGAATCAGGATGCTTCATTGCTCAATATTCATAAATGTGAGCAATTGTGTATATTCTCTGTTCTTTTCCTCGAAACAACTAAATTTTACTTATAGTTTTCTACTATAAGCTGAGAATCACTGATTCTACAGCGTTCCGTATGTTTGACATAACAGTTATTGCAATGAATTGAGCCATTTGTCCGCTTGCTTCAAAATCCTATCAGCATACATTAAAGCAAGACTTCTGCTACAAAAAAATGCAGATATTTGGAACATTACGAATTAGTTTTACCACTGTTCTATCCAAGAATGACATTGAATGGAGTAGAGAACGCAGATGATAAGTATCATAGTCAAAGATTAAGGAAACATGACGATGCCACGAGCATAAAGGATCAGAGAATTGTATCTTACAAAGTACTTCATGAGCTGTTAGCCTCTTTTTTGGATCTCTCACAAGCATCTTTCTGACAAGATCTTTTGCACTTTCTGATATAGATGGCCAAGGTTCTGATACAAAGTCAAGTTCCCCTTTTAGAACCTGTTCAAATATTCCTTGCTCCGTCTCTGATTCATAACAACACGATACATGCAAGATGAACATAATCATGTTAGCTTCGAGAATGATTGAAAAGGAAGAGATTCACGAGATCTAACCTTCCCAGAAGGGGGGAACTCCACTTAGTAAAATATAAATGATCACTCCAGCACTCCATATATCACATTCTAAACCATAATGCTTCCGCAACACTTCTGGGGCAACATAATAAGGGCTTCCGACAACATCAGTGAAGATTTCACCTGGGGGCACAGAGCTTTTTTTCTTGATCAGGTGTTAGAAAGTCAGCTAATGAAACAGCTAGAAGAAATAGCAGACAACAATGGAGAATTACTCTAAAAGAAGAACAACCCACGGCCTACAACAAGGATTCAACAAACATCCATTATAAAATAAGCTTAATGTGAAACAAACAAAGAAAAGAATAGATGTTCCTTATCTAAGTTGCTCGGACTTGGGTGCAGGTATCTAATACGGGTGTGAAATTGGAGGTCGGATCCTTCATGATCTAAATTTTAAGATTTTAGGGTACAGATACGGCTGCGCATATCTGAATTTCTTGGCATCTAAAGCATATCTACACAATATTGCTTTCGCTTTGTTGACATAAGTGAGATTATATCATTTCTGGGAAGTACCGAATAGATGAAAAAACCAACAAGCTAGATCGACACCTTTTAAAAGAAAAATGTTTGCAAGTGGACTACCTGGCTTGAAGAACACTGATAACCCAAAGTCGATTGTCTTCAAGGGCGAATCTTCATCCTGGTTGATAAAAAGAAAGTTCTCGGGTTTGAGGTCCCTATGCATGACACCCATGGAATGACATGCTTCCACGACACCTACAATTACCCTAGCGAGTTCAGCTGCCTTCTTCTCACTGTAATGTCCTCTCTGTAAAATCCTGTCGAAAAGCTCCCCACCCGCACAAAGCTCCATCACGACATGTACTTCAACAGCATCCTCATAAGCCCCTACTATTTGTACCACACTAGGGTGCCCTGCCAAATGGTGCATAATCTGAATCTCCCTTCTTACATCCTCGACATCCTCCTCGGTATTCAACTTCCTCTTAGCAATGGACTTACACGCCAACTCCTTTCCATGTACCTGTTACGATTTTTTGGACGAGAGATGCAAACAATAAAGTTGAAAACATGGATGAAAATGTGTCTCTTATATATCATCAACTATAAGGCTTTTCAAAAAACCAGATAAACAAAATAGTTAACTCCTCCTACAACTAAAGCATTAGACTCTTATAACGACTAAAAACTTATTTGGATGGTAGTTACATATTGTTTCATAACGTATAGTATTATAGTAATCGATGAATACAATGTTTGGATAGATTGTATCGTTTCTCATCGTTATATAATGCCACACATCAGCAATTTGAATGAATATGATACAATACAATAGGTAACAATCATCCAAACAAGCTGTAAGAAACTGAATACTCTAGTAAATCAAATATTAGATTCCTCTTACAACTAAACAACTAATTACAACAACATATACCGAGTATAGTCCCACAAGTGAAGTCTGGGGATGGTAGTGTATACTCAGACCTTACCCCTACCGTGGGAGGTAGAGAGGTTGTTCGGGAGTGAAGAAACCAAGACAAAATACTACACAAGACATGACAAAGCATACTAAACGAGCAGTAACTACAACAAAATATAGTATTAGAAATCAGGAACAGAAAACCTACAGCAGTAATACTACGACTACTAGTACAGAAGGATAAACGAGACTACAGTTATTAGCTGTAAAATAAGCAGCATTCAACAATACCTTGTCCACACATAAATATGTCGTCCCGAATTGACCTTGTCCAAGCTTCCTCCCTAAACTACAAATCTCCTTCAAATTACCAGTTTTTCTTCCCAAAACAGAGTCGATTTTAAGCCCAATGCTCGATACTCGCTTAACATGACTAGGCTTATTCTGTTTCACTCCTTCCACTGGCTTATTATTAACATTTGATGATGAATTCTTCTCATTAGTATCATCTCCACTAATCTTAAGGTGTGGGGGTGGAGTACTCTGAGTACCACCAAATCTATTAGTATCATTTCCATCTACTTTCTTCGACGATCCGACGGATGAATGCTCTTGGGTTTTGTGGGAATTTGAGTCCCCTTTATTTGCAAGAGGTAAATGTTCTTGTTGTCTTGTTTTCCAAACAACTGCTGTTACTGATTGCAAGAACCCATTGTTACCCAATTTGGGTCCTATACATGTATTCCCCATTCAATATAATCCTTTCTACCTCCTCGAGTAGTGTAACGTCTACGACTCAGCATACACTCTACCCTCTCCAGACCCCGATTCTTGTTCTTGTTCTTTCAATCAAATCCTTACATTTTCTCTTTAATTCCCAAGAAACCCTTTCAAGAAACCTATAATCTTTTGCCCCCAAAAAGTTAAATACTAAATTCAAGAACCCTAAATTCAAAAAAAAAAAATTCTCTTTCAATAAAATAAAACTTTCAAGAACCTATAATCTTTTACCCCCAAAAATTTAATACTACCCCTACATTCAAGAAAGGAAAAAAAAAACTTTCAAAGAATATTCAAGAACCCTAAATTCAAGATTTTATTTTTTTTCTTTCAATCAAAATCCTAACATTTTCTCTTTAATTCCCAAAAAATTCCTTTCAAGAATCTATATTGTTTTACCCCAAAAAGTTAAATTCCTCTAAATTGAAGAACCCTAAATTTCAGATTCCTTTTGGAATCTGAAATTCAAGAATTCATCAATAAAGATGAGTTTTTTTTTTTTTTTTTTGAAGAAAACAAACACAGAATTGACCTTAGTCTAAAATCAGCCTCAAAATTCGAAATTTTTTTTAAAAAAAATCAGGGATTAAGAGAAATTAGGGAAATATTATGGAAAAATATTTGGGGGAAAAGAAAATTAGGAAATGTAAGGTGGTAAAATGGTTTGTTTAATTTTTGCAAAGTTCACTTTCATGCATGCATGCGTACGTACATTTTTTTCTTCAAAATGTGCATCTTTTCGCGTTTTATATCTTAATTATCCATAATACATAAATAAACGCTTAAACTTATTTTAAGATAATATGCCAACTTTGAAAGTGCGCATCTAGACACTTAAATTACTTGGTCTCAAATTACAACTGAAAACACTCCAATTTGTCACCACTGTATCTCGTGGTCACCCAAGACTACGTGGCATAAATTTTGGAGGTCAAAAGTTATGATCATTTTAGTTTTGTCTGATATTATGTCTTGTACGTTGCATTTCGTCGATGTTGAACAATTCTGAACCAGTAAAATGTCGGTCTAGAGTTGGGTGAAAAAAATTAAGAGGTTTTTTGTTTTGAACATGTGTTTCACTGGCATTAAACAATGTTGGATAGATGTTTGTCACTTTTGACCATTCTTTCAAGCCCTAAAAGTGGTTTCTCTCCGATCCTATCATTCTCATTCATCAAGGTATGCTCTTTTCCATGGATTTCAAGCTCTCCAATCCAAATTTTGGGAGCATCATATGAATATATGTAATTTTGGGAGGACTATTTAGCACCGAGAGGACACAAATTTTTAAAAACTCAAGTCTCATATCTATATGTACCTGTAAGATTATGTTTCACCATTTTATCGGTTGATCATTTAGCCTAGAGAGACTCAGATTAGTGGATCCACATAGATATGATAGGGTTCTATACTTTGACAAGGTATAGGGCAGCCCTTCGAACTGGGTTAGTTATTGGACATCATGAGCTCACATGGTGTATGTCGATTATAAGAAACTCCTCAGTTTGTACCCTTTTACAATATGTTCTTAACTTTATTTAATTCACTTTAAGTATGCTATTTACAACTATGATTATGCAAGACGGCTGAAATAGACTCATCTCTATATATGATTATGCAAGACGACTGAAATAGACTCATCTCTATATATGCTTTTGAAAGAAGATTGTGAATGGTATTTAGACATGAACTCCAACTATTTTCTCTTCAGTTTTTTCACTATGTATATGATTTTGGAAACCTTATTTCACTGTCTTCATTATGTCATTTTACGATTATGCTAATGCCCCTTACTCACTCAGTACATGAAACACATACTTTTCTCTGGGATGCATCATTTTATACTGTAAATTTCAGTGCCTATTCTCAGTCTCGAGGCTAGTAAGGTGCAACATCTCCAGTTAGCAATTGGTGAGTCCTCCTGATCACTTAGGGTCTCCATGGACTTTAGTGGTTAGACCTTATTTTACGTTGTCTTTAGACTTTTGAAGGCGTCATGTCCTGGCTACGTATTTCTATATTTTAAACGATAGAGGCTATATTTCAGACATTAGTATTTCAATTCATGGACTTCATTTAGTTACGCATTTAGCTTCCACTTTATTTTCCTTACTATATGCTTTGATATGCTATACAAGGATTAATTTGGGACCACTCGTGATTCCAAACATCGTGTCTCAATAGTCATAGTACATATAATTTATTTATTTTTAAAATAATATAAATAAGTAATTGTTTTTTTAAAAATGGGGGCCCCAAAAAATATGGGGCCCCAAGCGATGACTTTAGTGGCCTAGGGGTTAAGACGGCCCTGTCTCAATTGGATATAGGTTCGGATCGTGACAATAAACTAAATAAATATATGCTAAATAAAGGTTACAAATTTAACTAATTACTATATACATTTAAGAAGATATCCATTTAATAACTCATTTTTCATGGACGTCCGTTAAGACTTTAGCAATGGAGCCAGTTGGTCCCGAAGGGCAAATCGGCACGTTTTGAAGTTCAAACGAGCCCCAAAGCAGTATTTTAACTCACCCAAATTTCAATCCATCCATTTAATACCCCAACATGCACCAAGAAAACCCATCTACTATAGTCTATAACAATAAAATCGAAAGAGATGTGCTAAATTCCCACTAAAATATACTCCCTCTGTCCCTATTTACTTGTCCACTTTTCCTTTTATAGTTGTCCCTAATTACTTGTCCATTTTGACAAATCAAGAAAGGACAAAAAAAAATTCCTATTATATCCTCAATTAATTACTTTGAAAAAGGTAGAACTTTTTGAAAATATTAAATTTCTAATTCATCCACTTCATAATTAATAGAGGTAAAATGGAAAACTCACTATGTCAGTAATTGTTTTCTTAATAGGTGTGTCAATTTAAAAGTGAACAAGTAATTAGGGACAGAGGAAGGAAGTATATATTTAAAAAAACATCAATTTATTAACTCCCTATTTCAACCCGTCCATTTGTCACCCCGACATACCAAAAAAACAACCATCTTCTAACAATAAACTAAAAAAGAGAGGTGCTAATTTCCCAAAGTAATCACCATATATACTTAATAACAATCTATTTTTAAGCATAGCCACACAAGACAAAACTAATTTATTTTTTTGTATAAATACCACCCTTACTTTATTCATAATCATATAATATTGATTATCTCCATTGTTTTTTCTCCTTTCCAATAAAACAACAAAAAAAAAGGGATAAAAAACAATGGCTCCTCTAACAAAAATAACTTTTCTTGTTATTGCAATTTCCTTCTTCCTCACAATTCCATCAAATGCATTTGATTATACATTAAAAACATCTCTTTCAGCTCCATCTTCTCTTCCTACTCCAAAAACCCCTACTACTCCAAAACTTCAAATTTTGGATGGTACAGTACAAAAAGTCGTTGTTGCAAGTCAAAATGTACCATCATTTGTTAAAGCAACAATGGTTGGCACAATGTCCAAGACACAAGAATTTATCAAAAATGTAATTGAGAAAAGATTGGCTTTGAGTGCAAAAATGGATCATTATAGAAAAGATTGTCTTGAAACATGCAAAGAGGTGTATGGAGATGCAATTGATGCAATGAAAAAGGCATCACAAGATGTTAAAGCACAAAATTTTTACAAAGCAAATATGGATCTTAGTGCAATGTATTCATACATTGAAACTTGCCATGATTGTGTTGTTGAGACAAAAGAAAATGATCTTGCCTTCCAAAATTTTGAAAAGTGGGCAAAAGGAGTTGCTAGTGATTGTCTTGATAAAGTTTCTAAAGAATACTATAAAAATTAATAAATATTATGGTATTCAATTTTAGTGTTTTTAAAGTTATATACATCGATCAGTGTGTCATCAAAAGATATTTACAAGATGAGATTTGTAATCTTAGCTTGAAAATAAAATAGGTTGTCACGATCTGTTATAACAAAGATAGGTGACATTAAGAATTTCTTACACTTGCGATGTATTTTGTATTGTCTTGGTGGACAACGGGACGAAGAAAAAAAAGTGATATATTAATTTACGTTTTAATTTATGTGTTGTATTTTTCTTTTGATTTTGTTCAAAAATATCATTTTTGTATATTTAATAAATTCTTCAATTACAACATCTCATGTGTCTCATATTTAAGACTATAAGATTTAAATTTTTAAATAAGATACATAAGATAAATAGAATGGAAAAACGATAGTGTAATCAGATCTCTCTATAACAATCCTGAATTAAATGAACAATTTTTCTTTGAGATAGAACTTTTTTTATGTTATATTTTCTCTTTATATGATAAACTTTTTATGTTACCTCTTTATAACATACTCAAATATTTACCTATTTATTATTTTATATATATAATAATAACCAAAAAGTAGTCTATTCACTTTTTATTGGTGATATAAATTTAATAAATTATGTAAGTTCTAACAAAGGAATTTGAAATGTCAAAAACTCTTTATGAATGTCAAATGATATTACAGATATATAACATGTAATAACTATAACAAGGACCTAAGTTCATTTTAAACTGTCTAAATTCGACTCAAGTCGTTCATTTGTCCCCTCTCGATATTAGGCAATTGAATTAAGTTATCTTGAAAGACCTCAAAGATTCCACTTGAGTTTAAAGAGACTCTTCCCTTGAATTAAATCTTAAAAAAAAAAAAAAAGAGAATGCAGAGATGATTATATGCAATTTTCACTATGAACAAGAATTCCTTTTGGTGTGACACCAAATCATAGAGCATAGTTACAAAGAGGAACTCGAATTCCTTCTCTCGAGACCATGTGTCCCAAAAATGCCACTGAATCAAACCAGAACTCACACTTTGAAAATTTAGCATACAACTGACGTTCTCTAACGATATATTTTACAACTACAACTGTCGAAAAGAAGAGCAATACTTATTATTACCTAAACGATTGCCCTTCTTTTCGGGTTTGGGTTTGTATACATTCATCATCAAGGAAGAATGAGAACAAACAGTGTTAAGAGGGACAATGTGCATCTGTGTAAAAGGAAGGCCGGCTTTCCAGAGTCAAACCTAGAAGAACCAGGTCGTGGAGTCACTTGCTGACTCCACACCCTGCAACCAAGTCTGATGCACGTGTGTCCAAGTGAGCCCGTCTGCAACAGTCACATTCTGGAAGCGAAAAACCAAATTATAACAGGCTTTGGATTGTAGGACAACAAAAATTGCAATGATCCTTCAGTAAACTTCACCTTTGAGCTTAATAAGACGGTAGTTATGCAACATTGTCGATCTTCACCTGTAGGAAACAGCATCTTTTAAGATATTACAGTAAACATAACAAGAGTCGAAGAGAAAGGAGATGTAGATCGTCTTAGTATTGGATCATTCTCGCAGAAAATAAGTCATTTCCATAATCGCTTGGTTAAATATGATCATAGTTTCATTAGTCTAAATAATTTGGGGCACAGAATCTGTCATCAAATGAATGAGACATGAC